AAAAAAAAAAAAAAAAAAAAAGAAAGACAAAGAAAACATGAGATGAATTACATTGAGTCAATGAAAGAATTAAATGGGTATATCAATTTGTTGTTACAGCAAATGCCAGAGGAAGAAGCTTTCGCTGTACTGGTAGCGCTTATGCAAGAGTATCGTTTGCGAGACATGTTCAAGCCGAGTATGGCTGAATTAGGGGTGTGCATGTATCAGCTAGAACATTTAGTTGCTGACACGCATCCCGAGTTACACGCTCATTTTACGGCTCAAGGTTTTCACACGTCGATGTACGCATCGTCTTGGTTTCTTACGCTTTTTACCACAGCGCTCAGCCTACCGCTGGCCTGCCGCATTTTTGACGTGTTTCTGTCCGAAGGCATGGAAATTATTTTCAAAGTTGCGCTGGCCATGCTGCATTTAGGCAAGGAAGATTTGTTAAGCTTGGACATGGAAGGCATGTTGAAGGTAATTCCCTATTATCAGAATCTAACGTCTTATCTATAGATAAGAATTTTATAAAGATGTAGAATTTTTTGCGTTTTTACTCGTAGAAAAAAGTCAAGTATCGCAAGCTTGATAGTTGAACAATGTGACTCACAACATGTGACAACAATCTTAATGCTGTTCTCGTTTCGTTAATATTTATAATATTTTTCGTGTATAGTTCTTTCAGAAACAGTTACCTGGAAGAGCCGAGAAAGATCCTGATGGCCTCATGAATCTCGCCTATAGCATGAAAATAAATCCAAAGAGAATGAAGAAACTCGAGAAAGATTATACCGTCTTGAAAATGAAAGAACAAGAAGAAATGGTTGAGCTTCGTAGACTTAGAGCCGAGAATAGGTTACTTAGGCAAAGAACTGAACTTCTCGAAGCCGAGTCCGCGGAGCTAGCAGACAGATTAGTCAGAGGTCAAGTTTCTCGAGCAGAAGAGGAAGAAACTGCTTTTGTTGTACAAAGAGAGTTAGCTGCTCTTCGACATACGCATCTTGAAACCAGTCATCAGCTTGAACAAGCTCATGAAGAATTAAGATCATTGTCGCTTCTGTTAGAAGAAAATGTCACCTCGAAACAATCTTCTCTAGATGAAATTTTGTCAAAGCAGGAAGCATTGTCGCAAAAAGAGGAAATGATACAATGTTTGCAAGAGGAATTAGTGAGAGTTCGGCTACACGAGGCTGAGAACGATGCAACGATAAGGGAACTTAGAGCAAGAATACAAGAACTGGAACAGGATAAAAAGACGTTGCGCGAATCAACGCCAGATAATTCTGTTGCTCATTTACAAGAGGAACTGATTGCTGTAAAGCT